GCCCATTTGCCTGAAAGGTAGACCCATCCTTGCCTACTAATTCCACTGCACCATAAGGGAACACCTTGCGGATTACAAATGGTGCTAACCATCGGGATTTGAGTTTGCCTGGAAAGAGTTTCAAGCGAGAATTGAATAGAAGGACCGGTTCTCCTGCCTTGAAATCCCTCCTTAGTATTCTCTTGTCATGCCACATCTTTGTCCGTTCTTTATATATCTTTGCATTTTCATATGCATCATTCCGGAATTCCTCCAACTCATCAAGCTGCAACAAGTATTGTGGACCGACCAATTTCATATCTAAATTCAATTTCTTCACAGCCCAATAAGCTCGATGCTCCAATTCGACCAATAGATGACAAGCTTTCCCGAATACCAGACGGTAGGGTGACATTCCAATTGGAGTTTTAAATGCTGTTTGGTATGCCCAAAGAGCGTCATCTAGTTTGAGAGACCAGTCCTTCCGATTGGTATTCACTGTCTTTTTCAGAATCTGTTTAATCTCTCTGTTAGACACCTCTACTTGCCCATTTGACTGTGGATGATAACCCAATGCCAACTTGTGCTTGACATCATACTTAGCTAGAAGAGAATTGAACAACTTGTTACAGAAATGTATACCTTCGTCGCTTACGATTGCTCTAGGCGTGCCAAACCGAGTGAAGATGTTTTTTCTGTAAAAATTTCAACACCAACTTTGCATCATTTGTCGATGTGGCAATGGCTTCAACCCACTTAGACACATAATCTACTACGATAAGAATATTGTCTTGACCAACGGAAGGTGGGAATGGACCCATGAAATCAATACCCCACACATCAAATAATTCCACCTCCAGCATACTGGTTATTGGTAGCTCATGATGTCTTGAGATGTTTCCAGTGCGTTGACAGCGGTCACATGTTTTCACAAAAATATAACAGTCTTTGAACAAATTTGGCCAATAGAAACCAGATTGCAATACCTTTGCAGCAGTACGTATAGGGCCGAAATGACCTCCATAGGGCGAGGAATGGCAATGCTGCATGATTGATCGTGTTTCTTCCACAGGGACACACCGCCTAATTATTCTATCATCACATCTTTTGAACAAGATTGGATCATCCCACAGAAATGACTTGACATCATGTAGGAATTTCTTCTTTTGATGAAAGGTCAAGTCAATGGCAACCTTCCAGACACTAAATAGTTAACAAAATCAACATACCATAGGATCTTTGTTGATACAGCTAGCAAGATCTCGTCGGGGAACGTTTCTCGAATTTGACTGTCATCCACCACCTTTTCATTCTCCAATCGTGAGAGATAGTCTGCAACGATAATCTCACTGCCTTTCTTATCCCGAATCTCTACATCAAATTCCTGTAGTAGCAGTATCCATCGAATTAGGCGTGGCTTGGCATCCTTCTTTTGAAAGAGATAACGAATTGCAGCATGGTCCATGTAAATTATCACTTTGGTGCCAATGAGGTAAGATCTGAATTTGTCACATGCAAATACTACTGCTAGCATTTCCTTCTCTGTTGTTGTGTAATTTAGTTGAGCTCCATTAAGAGTTTTACTGGCATAGTGGATTGCCCGAAAAATCTTATAATGCCTTTGTCCTAAAAATGCCCCTACTGCATAATCACTAGCATCACACATAACCTCAAATGACTGATCCCAATCTGGTACTACCATCACTGGAACAGTGACTAATTTTGCCTTTATGGTTTCAAAAGCCTGTAAGCAGTCTTCATCAAATACGAACGTTGTGTCCTTCTCCAAAAGGTTACATAGGGGTTTTGCCACTTTTGAGAAGTCTTTGATGAATCTCCTGTAGAAGCCAGCGTGCCCTAAGAAACTTCGAATGCTTTTGACATTGGTGGGTGGTGGTAGCTTTTCAATTGTATCAATTTTTGCTCTGTCCACTTCCAACCCCCTCGTCGAAACATGATGGCCTAGCACAATACCTTCTTGTACCATGAAGTGGCACTTTTCCCAGTTGAGAACTAAATTCCTTTCCTCACAGCGTTGCAGCACTAAGGAGAGATTATGAAGGTAGTTATTAAAAGAAGTACCGAACACCGAGAAGTCATCCATAAATACCTCCATGATGTCTTCAACCATGCCTGCAAAGATTGCCATCATGCATCTCTGAAAAGTGGCTGGTGCATTGCATAACCCGAATGACATCCGTCTGTAGGCAAAAGTTCCATATGGACAGGTGAAGGTTGTCTTTTCCTGATCTTCTGGTGCTATAGCAATCTGGTTGTAGCCCGAATATCCATCAAGAAATCAATAGTGAGAGTAGCCAGCTAATTTGTCCAACATTTGATCAATGAACGGTAGTGGGAAATGGTCCTTTCTAGTTGCCTTGTTCAGTTTCCTATAATCAATGCACACCCTCCAGCCAGTTACTGTTCTTATCGGAATTAGCTCATTGTTGTCGTTCTTAACTATTGTTATCCCTCCTTTCTTTGGTACCACTTGCACTGGGCTGACCTATTCACTGTCTGAAATGGCAAAAATGATTCCTGCCTTCAATAGCTTTAGAATCTCCACTCGAACCACTTCTTTCATTGCTAGGTTTAACCTTCTTTGATGTTAGATGGATGGCTTGTAAGACTCTTCCATGAGGATTTTATGCATGCAGATTGTAGGACTTATCCCCTTGATGTCAGCTATCGACCATCCCAAAGCGGCCTTATGATCCCTCAACACTTTTAATAATCTATCCTCTTTGTCTCTGGTGAGTGATGAAGAAATAATTACTGGAAATGCAGACTTATCCCCCAAGAATGCATAGCGAAGGTGATCTGGTAGTTGCTTCAGTTCAATCTTACTGCTTTCATTGCTTTCTTTGTCATCTGCTTCCTCTGACTGTTGAATATCCTCACATTGTGATGGGTTTTCCACAACTGATGTAGACTCAAGAGCTAATATGTAATCAACCAAATCCTTGCTCCCTATGTACTCTCAAAAAGTGCTAATATCATCCTTTGTTGTACTAAACATCATACGTTGCTCGAGAGGATCTTCAATACATAATTTCTCATCTTTCACAGCAGAATCAATGAAATCAATCCTGTGGCAAGTGTAATTGTCATCTGAGTACTTCATTGCTTGGTAAATGTTGAACCTCACCTCTTCTTCATTCACTCTCAATGTCAATTGTCCCCCTTGTACATCAATTAATGCCCTTCCAGTTGCTAAAAATAGTCTGCCTAAAATCAGTGGAATTTCCTGATCTTCTTCCATATCCAATACCACAAAATCAGCTGGGAAGATGAATTTTTCGACTTTACCAACACGTCTTCCATAATTCCTCGTGGGTAGGTGAGGGACCTATCAGATAGTTGTAAAGTCACTGTTGTTGGTTTGACCTCCCAGAGGCCTAACTTCTTGAATACTGATAACAGCATTAAATTGATGCTTGCTCCTAGATCACAGAGGGCCTTTTCAAAGGAAGAGCTTCCAATGGTGCACGGAATAGTAAAGCTGTCCGGATCTTTTCTCTTCTGAGGAAGTTTCTTTTGAAAAATAGCGCTGCATTCCTCTGTCAATTTTACTGTCTCATATTCCTCCAATTTTTGCTTATTTGATATCACTTCCTTCATAAACTTTGCATAATTTGGCATTTGTTCCAAAGCATCTGCAAAAGGAATATTAATATGAATTTCTTGAAGATTTCTAAAAATTTTGCAAATTGATTATCAAATTTTTTCTTTTGAAAATGCTGTGGAAAAGGAAGTGGTGGTGTGAGAATTGGTGGGTTGTCAGGGAAGGATATGGAATAAAGTTTGTGGGCCTTATTTGTTCCTTTGGCCTGCTTTTCTTGCTCTTCTACTACTTGTTCTTTCTCTTTATCAGGTGTGGGGTTGCTATCTTCAGTGAGTTCACTTTCTCCAATTTGCTTGTCACTCCTTAATATAACAGCTTTACAGTTCTCCTTTGGATTGATCTATGTATCACTTGGAAATTTTCCTTTTTGCTGAGACTTCATTGAGTAGCCAATTGGCCAATCTGCACTTCAAGATTCTTCATTGTGGCTCCCATGTTGGACACATGCGTTTCAATATTATCCAAACGTGATTCATCTTTGTTGAAGCGTGATCTTGTCTCAGAAATGAATGTCCCAAGGATGTCTTCCAATGGTGGTTTCCCATTAGAATTCTGAGTGTTGAATCCGGGTGGAGGTTGAAGTGTATTTCTATTGTTGCCATATGACAAGTTCTCGTGATTCCTCAGCC